GGTTAGGGTTTGAGATTACGTTCTAGCTATATTCACAATGGGCTTGTAATAAATTGTGTGTGTTTGAGATGACCCTTTCCTGTGGCACATAAAGTTTATAGTCTTTTCTATTCATTTATCATTTTACTTGCTTACTGGAAAGCTTCTCTTTTGTTCCTTAACTGGAATTTCTCTTCCATGTTATTTGCATATCTGCCACCTAACATACCCAAATCAATTATGGAGCAATTATTTTTAAAATCCCCCTTATGAGAATGTAAAGAGGGAAATGGATCACAGTTTGAAGACGTGGGCAGTGGCTCACACCTGTAATCCCAGCATTTTGGGAGGTGGAAGCAGAGGCGGGTGGATCACTTGAGGTCAGGCTTTCAAGATCAGCCTGGCCAACATGGTGAAACCCCATCTCTACTAAAAAATACAAAAAATTAGGTGGGCGTGGCGGCAGTCACCTGTAATTCCAGTTACTCTGGAGGCTGAGGCAAGTGAGTTGCAGTGAGCTGAGATTGCGCCACTGCACTCCAGCCTAGCAACCGAGCAAGACTCTGTCTCAATCAATCAATCAAGATGTTAGCTGGCCCCTTTTCTCTTTTGATGCATCCCAAAGCACCTTCCCTCCCTGCATCTTACCTTTCTTATTTCTGTCAGGCTCATTTTAAAGTTTTTGCCACACCTTTAACTCCAGAACTATGAATGTTAAACTTGAGTCATGCTTGGATAAGGGAATAAAATCATGTCTTTCTTTTCTTATCCATAATCATTTTTATTGAGTTGCAGCCAAATACATCCACAGCTTGCAGTTAAATCCCTCATTCATACAAGCGTCCCTTCAGCACAACGTACTTGTCAATATACTGCTTCCAGCCTCGTACACTTTCCGAATTGCCATTGTTTCTCAAGGCTTTGACCTTGGCTCTCCTCTACCAACACTTTACCTTCTGTCTTTGCTTCCTGTACTAGCTAAAGAGCATTGTCTCACAAATGTTCCTAATTTTTGTCTTACCGCCAACATTGTGTCTTCAATGCATATCACCTGCTTCACTGACACATCCTCTCAGTGAATAACCGACCCCCCAGCCTCTTGCTCGCACCCCCACCAACACCACACAGCGTTATCTGGAATATCAACTTCAACCCAGTTTTCCTTGTCTTGTATTAGAAACAGCCTAGAGAGATACAATAAAGCTTATTCTCCCCCAGAAATTGCAATACATTTGAACTTTGAAAATGGCTTTAGACTGAATCTTTTGAGGCTGATATCCCACGGCACTGTCCTGATATCTTGCGCTCTTCCTAAAACAATCATCAGAGATAGAGAAATCACAGCTGATGAACTACAATCCACGTGTCTATAGCTTATTAGGTTACTAGCTCCCCTTTCTTCCAGGTTAGAGGATTGTTTTGCCTTGGGGCAATACACAGGGCTCTTTCGTTAGCTTAGATGATGAAGGTCATGTTTTCTCTACATCTGAATATGAACCTTCTGTGTGTTATCATCGGCATGCTTTTTAACTAGAGTTAAGTAATTGATTTCTGAAGACACCCTGGCCTTTACATATTTGCCTGTCTTACTTAGTGTAATTTTCTCTTGCTTTTCAAGTACATGATTAGCCACAATGTGATAAGTATATAAATCAACTGCCTGCCCTCTAGGACTTTTCACATTTAAATTTAGACTCTAAATTGCTTTTGTTACACTGAAAAGATTTGAAAATGCTCCACTGAATCACATTCAAGACACTTCAGAAGCTTGCAATAATTTCCTGCATTGCCGAAGGAAATTATTTTCCCAAATACACTCTGAGTTTTTTGTTTGTCCACGATAGAGTTTTTCCTTGTTACCCAGGCTGAAGCGCAGTGGTGCCATCTCAGTTCACTGAAACCTCCGCCCCCCAGGTTCAAGTGATTATCTTGCCTTAGCCTTCCAAGTAGCTGGGAGCCATCACGCCCAGGTAATTTTTCTATTTTTAGTAGAGACGGGGTTCCACCATGTTGGCCAGGCTGGTCTCGAACTCCTGACCTCAAGTGGTTCGCCTGCTTTGGCCTCCCAAAGTGCAAAGATTACACGTGTGAGCCACCATGACCAGCCAATATTCGATTTTGTAGAAAGCATTCCTTCACTACCTACATCACCCAGGATTTGAAATCACCCAGCTTCCTACTCTTAAGGGCATTTGCAGTCAATGGCTGAAGTTTCAGACAGTCGCTTGCTTCCATGGAAGTGGCAAGATGAGTATTGTGGTTTAAGCAAACTTCCCTAATGCTCTATGAGGAGGACATCTCATCACTGTTAGCCTTAATGAGACACACGTTCCTCCCCATCTGATGACTCCTCTTAATGGTTCAAATGTGTTCCACATACTTTAGAAAGCAGGTTCAAATGACTTTAGAAAATTTTACAATGTTCCTTGAAATAACGGATAACACCCAGAGTACCATTAAACAGTGTGGGAATCACGTTATCTTTTTAAAGTTCAGTTGGAAATGAATAGATCAGAGAGAGGACCTAAGGAAGGGTTGTGCCACTTGTGAAATAATAAAAAATAAAAAGGGCCGAGGGTATATATGTGGATTGTATTTCCAGTGCCCTGTTCTAATCCCTGCGCAGTCACACATTTCTTAATGATGGGGACACGTTCTGGGAAATATGTCCTTATGTGATTTCACCACTGTGCAAACAGACCTAGATGGTGTAGCTTATAGCACACCTAGGCTAGATGGTATAGCCATTGAGCTCCTAGGCTACAAACCTGTGGCGCATGTTACTGCACCAAATGCTGTGGGCAACTGTAACACAATGGTAAATATTTGTGTATCTGAACACAGAAAAGGTATAGTAAAACACACACGGTGCATAAAATAGAAAACAGTACACTTCAGTACGTTTGTCTAGGGCACTTACCATGCATGGAGCTTGCAGGGCTGGAAGTTGCTCTGGGTGAGTCGGTGAGTGAGTGCTGAGTGAATCTGAAGGCCTGGGATGTCACTAGACACCACTGCAGACTTTGTAAACACTGTGAACTAAAGTTCCCTGAAAAAAACATGGAGAAAAGAAACTATTCCAGGGAAGAGTCTGCAGCCTTCAGTGTAAAACGAAGCTGCGTTTCGGAGGAAAAAAAGCCAGCCCTGGTTTTATAACAAAAGTTCCCACCTGAGGTTTCCGAGCAGGTCCACGTAGGCAACGGAGACTTGAAACTTAATTTTGATTGGTCAATACAGCTGAATCCTAATTGGGTGATACAGCTGAGCCCTGATTGGCCAGGGTAGGTGAGCTCTGATTGGTTGGTTTAGGTGAACGCTGACCGTCCCAATAATATAAAGGTGCAGGTTTTCAGGGAACTCAGTACCTGTGTGACCCCTTAGTCAACAGATGGCCAGTTGGCTGTATTTTAAATTTAGGCTCAGTTAACCACTTGGGGATACATCTTGAAGGACTGGCTTTTTCAGATTCACGTTTGTTGACAACTGTAGACTTAGGCTACGCTAAATTTCTGAACAATATTTTTCTTAAACTTAGCTCACTGAAACATTTTTACCTTATAAACTTGAAATTTTCAGCTTTGCCTCTTTTGTAATAACACTTTGCTTAAAACACACATTGTATACCTGTATAAAAATATTTTGTTTCTTTATGTCCTTATTCCATAAGCTTTTTACTATTGCTAACATCAAAATAAAGATGTAGAGATGAATTTCTAAATTTAAATTTTTATTTTAGAAAAAAGAATTGCACTTCAGGAGCTGGGCATGGTGGCTGATCCTGTAATCTCAATGCTTTGGGAGGCTCAGGTGGGAGGATTGCTTGAGGCCAGAAGCTGAAGACCAGCCTGGGCTACATAGCAAGACCTATCTCTACAAATATAAAAATAAAAAATTAGCCAGGCATGGTGGCATGGGCCTGTAGTCCTGCTACTCAGGAGGCTGAGGCAGGAGGATCGGCAGAGCCCAGGAGTTTGAGACTGCAATGAGCCGTCATCTGTCTCACTGCTGCACTCCCACCTGAGCAATGGAGTGAGACCCTGTCTCTTTTTTTTAAAAAAATGCAGTTCAAGCCATATCCTCAGTTTGGGTGATCTTCACTATGTCCAAAGAACAAAGAGAAGGTTGGGGGTTTTATAGAGAACAAAAGAGGGATGTTTTCTGTGGTCCTGAGAGAAAGTTCAGTGGTGTTCGTAAGGTTTTGGCAAGCTCTGATGGATGGGCATTGGCAGTGGGCAAAATTAGCCCAACAGCTGCAGCAAGTTATCTCAGCGCCTGTAGATGAAACCGGTTTTGCGTTACAACAGGCAGTTCCTTGCAGAGAATAACATCATTCGAAAGCAACGTTATGTACCCTGAGTGGCTTTTCTTTCTGGTCCCTCCACTGTGGTATAGTTGGGTATGACAAGAATGACCCTATTCAGGGCCGGGCGCGGTGGCTCACGCCTGTAATCCCAGCACTTTGGGAGGCCGAGGCGGGTGGATCACAAGGTCAAGAGATCGAGACCATCCTGGTCAACAAGGTGAAACCCCGTCTCTACTAAAAATACAAAAAATTAGCTGGGCATGGTGGCACGTGCCTGTAATCCCAGCTACTCAGGAGGCTGAGGCAGGATAATTGCCTGAACCCAGGAGGCGGAGGCGGAGGCGGAGGCGGAGGCGGAGGCGGAGGCGGAGGCGGAGGCGGAGGCGGAGGCGGAGGCGGAGGCGGGGCTGCGGTGAGCCGAGATCGCGCCATCGCACTCCAGCCTGGGTAACTCCAGTCTCAAAAAAAAAAAAATGACCCTATTCATATGATCCACTTTCACACTATTTTTTAAAGTTTTTATATGTTAAACTTTTTTTGTTAAAAACTAAGACACACACACATTAGCCTAGGCCTTAACAGGATCAGGATCATCAAGATGTCTCTAAACTATAGGAAGTTTCAGCTCTATGAAAATCTTATGGGATCACCATCATACGTGCAGTCCGTTGTTGACCGAAGCAGTTGCTATGTAGCACATGACTGTATTTCTATGCAAGCATCTACCAGCTTGCCTGGCCTGTGCCATGTAGCTCTTGTTTTATGCCTTGGGCTTTTCTGATGGTGCAGTGTGAGATGCCTGAGGTGACCTCCTTGGAGCACAGACACTTGCAATCTGAAGTGTTACATCCTATGCAGCCATGCTTGATGGATGGGGGACCAGAGGCAATGAATAAATTCTGATCTTATCTCCCCCTGGAAGGACGGTTCAGAGCATGTAGAAAGGCTTCTCAGAAAATGGCATGGGAGATGTTGGTCAAAGGGCACACACTTTCAGTTAACAAGATGAATGACTTCTGGTTATCTAAAATACAGGATAACTGTTAAAAAAAAAATAAAAATCAAAAAACTTTAAGGCCGGCAGCAGTGGTGGCTCATGCCTGTAATCCCAGCACTTTTGGAGGCCGAGGCAGGCAGATCACCTGGGGTCAGGAGTTCGAGACCAGCCTGGCCGACATGGTGAAGCCCCGCCTCTACTAAAAATACAAAAAATTAGCTGGGCATGGTGGCGCGTGCCTGTAATCCCAGCTGCTTGGGAGGCTGAGGCAGGAGAATCGCTTGAGCTCGGGAGGCAGAGGTTGCAGTGAGCTGAGATGGCGCCACTGCACTCCAGCCTCGGCGACAGAGCAAGACTCAGTCTAAAACAAAGCAAAACAAAAAAACCTTAAACATATTAAATTAACAGAGTTTAATTGAACAAAGGACAACCCTAAGACCAGAACAGGTTACTCGGCTTTCTGGGCACGCAGCCTTTCTGGACAGAAAACTGAAGTGAGGCCAAGAGACAGCTCTATTGGTTCCAGCCTAGCGCCCAGCGCTTACCGTATTTCCCCATGGTCACGTTGGTTAGCTGCCTGTGATTGATGACACCAAGCTCAGCTGCTGTGGCTGGCTGAGACTCAGCTACTTGTTACAAAAGTTTACTCCTAAGTCAGGCTTTCAGTGAGTTTAGGTTCTGATATGGTTTGGCTGTGTTCCCACCCAAATCTCATGTTAAATTTTAATCCTTAACGCTGGGGCAGGGAGCCGGGGGGAGGTCACTGGATCATGGAGGCAGTTTTCCCCCTGCTGTTCTCATGATGTTGAGCTTCTCGTGAGATCTGGTCGTTTGAAAGCATGTAGCAAGCATTTCCCCTTTCCCTCTCCCTTCCTCCCACTCCAGCACTTGAAGATGTGCTCGCTTAGCCTTCGCCTCCGGCCATGATTTTTAGTTTCCGGAGGCCTCCTAGCCATGCGCCCTGTGTAGCCTGCGAAACTGTGTAACACTTAAACCTCTTTTCTTCAAAAATTACCCAGTCATGGGTAGTTCTTTATGGCAATGTGAGAACAGACTCACACAGATACTAAGTTAGGTTGCAGTTTGTTATGCAGAGACTCAAAATATGAAGGTAGCCTCAGGCCACATTTAGTTTAACATGTCTTAGCTCACAGCGTTGTACCCTATGCTTGAAATTTACTAAGAGAGATCCAGAGGTAGCTGGCTGTGTGAGGGAACAGATATGTTTATTAGCCTGATGGTGGAAATCATTTCACAATGTGTATCTGTATCAAATCATCACTTTGTACACCATATATATATATATGCTTTTTTGAGTCAGCTATATCTCAGTAAAGTTGGGTTGTGGGGGAAGAAAAAGCAAGAGCCATAAGATGGAGCCCCTGTCTAGTGGAGGACTGGTTGCCCTGGCAACGCGACCTTGCAGTGCCTCTGTCTCTCTCCTCCCGTTTCCCTCCCGCTGGTCCCTCACTCCACTCCCTGGATGACATGCAAACATTTGCATTACGTACTGACTACTGACGTGCAAACTACCTGCTCAGAAGTCTTTGTTCAAGTCTCTGCTCTCAGGGGAATCTAGGCTTAGACACCAATTGTTTAACCATTTCAGTAATTGCTCAATTAAACAACTGGATAGCTTGGACCTCTCTTACTACCACTAACTTTCTCCTTTGGAAGGAAAATGGAAGGCAGTCACAACAGGTTATCCAGGCACAGAAGAATTCCCAGGGCCACCCAGCTACATAGATATGTTAGCAAAACAAAAGATTCACAAACTCATCATCATCTAATGAAAAAACTAAATCAGTAATTAGGATAAAATCTCTTGGGGTAGGGAGAAAGGAGGAGGAAAGTGGCTTTAACAAATGCATATTTAATGACTTAGCAAGATAAGATAATTAGGCAAAGTCTGCAGAACTGTTGGGGGGGTGGTGGAAACACTGTCACAAAACGGTGAGATCAAAGCTCATTGATAAAGCAATTAAATCCCGAGTACTGTTGTTGCCCAAAGGAATTTGATTTTCAAAAAATTTTCATCTTTGACTCAACTTTTGCAAAACTGGTTATGCCTAAGCCTTATAGCACGTTAGGAAATCCAGCTGGAGTTGGGAGTTGATCTCAGCAGGAAGTGCTGAATTTGCACCCTGGGCCTTTCCTGTCCCAGCAAATGATGTGGGCAGTGAAGTTATGACAGGTTCTCTCTGTCTTCCAGTGCTTTGAATGGCTTCCTCATTTAATACACAATGACCTTTAGAAGTAGGTGACTCCACACATGGACACAGAGAAGGGAAAACACACACCAGGGGCTGCTGAGGGGTTGGGGGTGAGGGAAGGGAACTTAGAGGATGGGTCAACAGGTGCAGCAAACCACTATGGCACATATATACCTATGTAACAAAACTGCACGTTGTACACATGTATCTTTCTTTTAGAATAAAGAAAAAATAAATTAAAAAAAGAAGTATCTCCATTTTACCAACCAAAAATGCGAGGTGGTTAGATTAGTTGAACTCAGAAATATGTCCATGTTTCACTTTGAGACTTGGGTGTGGACACAACAAGAACCCACCTGTCATGATTTCTTGCTGAAAGGGGAGAATATGAAGGAAGCTCTCGTGTTTTCTGGAAGCCTTACACAAATGGCACAGGTAGTATACAAATTTGGCAAAAGCTCTCGAACTGATTTCCCATTTGCCTTGGGAATACTGCTCGGGCATCGAGCTTCACTTCCTTTTCCTCCAACTAGGAAATGGGTTAAGCCCACAGATAGAGGTATGATTATTATATCGAGGTTTTCTACAAATAGAAGATAAAGGTACTGGGCAGGGTTATTTAAGCATCCTCCTGCCGTTGCCAATTACAGATTTCATGGGAAATTAGAGTTGCCATTCTAGTTTACTCACCAGAGCCTTTGGAGTTTGTTTTGAGTTTGTGTCAATTCTATAGAAATGAATCAAGACAGAGGAACGGAAAGCGAAGCTTCTGGATCTGTAAAGCTTGTGGGTCTGAAAATGGCAAATGTCCCAGTTCTTTCTCTCTTCCAGGCCTCATTAGCTCCGTCATGCCCTCCTCACAGAAGCAGCTTAACCCAAAGTCTACAGATTTCATTAAAATCACTGAGTAATAATGTGAGAAGAATCGCTATAATAATAGATATTGACATTCTGGCATAGTTATTATGATTTTAAATTATAAATCACATCTAGTCAGGTATCAACCAACATCCAGAAGGAAACTATTGATTCGAAATGTATTTATTAACTGGCATCTACATGCTAGTCGCTACAGGTACAAAGATTAATATTAACAGCAATAAAAAAGAATACTATTTATATAGTGTAGACTGTGTGCCAGCTACTATCCTAAGTATACGTGTATATTTAGAATATATACATTTATGCTAGATGGTGTGTATATAAATATACTTCTTTAATTCTCACAATAAATGAAAATTATCTTCATTTGACAGACAAGGAAACTGAGACAAAGGGAGGGTAAGTAACTCACCAGAGAGTAAGACATTCTGGAAGAATTCACTCTGGTGGGGAACAGACACAAAGAAACCACATGTGATATGCTATTACAGAACAGATACAAAGTGCCCTTACAGGAAAGGAAGAGGGCAAGGTAGGACGGACACCTTCCAGAGGAGCTGAGGCAGCTTCCTTAGGCAAATGGACATCTGAGTGGCTCTTGAAAAATGAAAAGCAGCTTTCAAAATAGGGCAGGCAGGGCATACAGGGTGTAACAGAAAGAAGTCATCCAATCTATGGCTTTATGCATAATTGCATCATATTGAAACAAGCAAGATGTCCTTCCGTAGGTGAATGGATAAACAGTCTGTGGTTCATCCAGGGAATGGAACCTTATTCAGCAGTTCAAAGAAATGAGTAATCAAACCATGAAAATACATGAAGGAATCTTAAATGCATATCACTAAATGAAAGAAGCCAATCTGAAAAGGCTCTATACTGTATGATTCTAACATATGCCATTCTCGAAAAGGCAAAACTATAGATAGAGACAGTCAAAAAGATCAGTGGTTGTCAGGGATTAGTAATGTGTGGGATGAGGAGATGAAAAAACAGAGGACAAGCAATTTTTAGGGCACAACAACTTTTCTGTGTGATATTGTAATGGATAGATGACAATATTCATTTGTCAAAACCCATAGAAATTGCAACACAAAGAGCAAACCCCAATGTAAACCGTGAACTTTCGTTAATAAAAATACATCAATAATGGTTCTCTGGGCTCTGTGGCTCACGCCTGTAATCCCAGCACTTTGGGAGGCTGAGGTGGATGGATCACGAGGTCAAGAGATCGAGACCATCCTGGCCAACATGATGAGACTCCATCTCTACAAAAAAAAAAAATTAGCTGGGTGTGGTGGCGTGCGCCTGTAGTCCCAGCTACTCCAGAGGCTAAGGCAGGAGAATCGCTTGAACCCGGGAGGCAGAGGTTTCAGTGAGCCGACATTGTACCACTGCACTCCAGGCTGGTGGCAGAGCAAGATTTTTTCTCAAAAAAAAAAAAGGTCCAATTTGAACACATGTATCATAGCAATGCAAGATGTGAATACTCTGGGAAACTGGAGAACAGGGAGAGGAGGAGGAGGAGTGCAGGGAAACTCTGTGCTTTCTGCTCACCTTTTTTGTAAACCTAAAACTGCTCTAAAAATCTCTATTGAAAGAAAAAGAGAAGGAGAAACAGCTTTCAAAATAGTACAGCAGAGCATTATAGAAAGATGGCTTCAAGTCTTCAGAGTGCGTTCCAAAACTCAAATTAATCTTCAAGTTGGAAATATTAAGTCATGAGTAATTTATAACTTAGTAGAAATTAAATTGTGAGTTCATTTTCCTTGCTGTCATTAGCTGGCTTCAGGATGTGGAGAAAATGAAGATTCCTTTGGCCTCAAGTGAAACCTAACTCAGATTCCTTCGAGCAAAAGGAAATCTACTGGCTGACATACCTGCAAGTGCTAGGTGCCACTTCTGACACTGGTGACTCCAAGAGTACAAATGAAGTCACTATAATGCATCTCTCTTCTCACTACTTCCTCCTCCTCCCTCTCTCTCTTTCTCTCTCTCTCCCTCCTGCCCTCTTTCTCTGTCCTGCCTAAATCTGATGCAGTTCTATCAGGCTCTCTTTAAATAGTGTAGTGATAGCCCCTGGCAGGTCAGGCTCACGTGAATTTTTAGTCCTTCTCTCTGAGGGGAAACTGTCTTCTCTGTGTGCAGGGGTTCCTGGAAAACACGTGAGGCTGGAGAGTCAGGCTGGAAAATAGGCAGGAGCCAAGGCAGGCCTGAGGATGAAGAAGCAGGTGACGGAGCAGAGTCATTCCGTGGGAACCAGCTAGTGAGGATTTCACCATCACCCCCTACCACCGCTAGGACTCAGTGAACGGTACCCTGGTTATGCTTTGGTCAAAAATAAGAGCAAAGACAGTAGAGGCAACAGGGCCCTGACCTATTTATTGCTTTCCTTATTCTGCTATGACTGAGTACTGTGCCTCCAGTGCATATTACTGTCTTGTTTCAAGAGACTGCTTTTTGAGAGTCACCTTAATGAAGGAGACAATGGAACCCCTGTTTGAACAGGTACCAAATCCCACAGTTTTAACACTATTTGTGCCTTATGTGAAAGGGACACATCAATTCCAAAAAAAAAAAAAAAAAATGTATATGCTAACTTCTCCCATTATGTCTCTATAGATCTTGCTGATCCAGAACCAGTGACCCAGACCATAGCCCAGGAAATAGCCTCTTCCTATTTGAGAAAGTGGTAGCTGATAGAATGTCCCCATGGCTGCCTTGGGGTCCTCCCTTAGCATCTAGCACATGAGAAAAATTGCATCTGCTTTGCCTGTGTTATGCTTCTCCAAGGGCTCTAAGAATCTAAGTTGTGACATCAAGATAGAAAAGAAGATAGTAAAAGCAATCTCTGTTCACATCGTCTTCTACATTCGATAACACCCCTAGGTAGCTCTATTGTCTAGAGGTCAGTGCTGTCCAACAGAACTTTCTCCAGTGATGAGAACATTCTCAATGTAGTAGCTACTAGCCACACATATAGCTGCTGAGCAGGAAATGCGGCAAGTGTAAACAGGAACTGATTTTATTTCAGTTAATGCAAATCCAAATTCTACACATGGCTAGTGACTCTTATTCAGCAGCACTGGTGTATACAGTCTAATGTTAACACTTGCTAACAGAATCTGCCCGACCCACAATTAAGTGGCCATGTTTTATAGTACATGACCTTACCCTCCACCTGATTGGACCAGAGGTGGTTACCTCCATCCAAGGACAACCAATCACAAGCGGCTAATGATCTATACTCTGAAACCTGACTCCAAAGGTGAGCTACATCAATCGTATTTCTCTCCCTGGATTTTGGAACTGGAAAATTGAGAGCGGATTGGCTATGGGAACTGAGCTTACTTCATTACACAGACTCAGGGCCCAGGTGGTAACTATCGGCCACCTGCAAACTGGGGCCATGAGAAAACAGGAGTCCCGGTATGTGTTGAAAGGGAAAGCTGGCTGCTGGAGAAGGGGAGGACGGGTCATATGTGCTCACAAGAGCAGACGCTATCAGGGGTCCTTCTGGCCCGTGAGAGAGAGGCAGGAAGCAGATTTGGCTTCTCTCTCTTTGGGGCTTGGCTGCTATTTAGCTTATGTTCATGGCTGCTCATAAGATTCTTTTATTTCCCGGAAATGCGCACCCTTAGCATAAGCCAGAGTAAGTGGAACTCTCTTTCCTGTCATCTTGACCACTTCTAATGAAATTATGATATTCTAATATAAGTTTTAAAGAAAAGCATATTATGCACCCTAGAAGTAAATATTATATTTCTGAGCTGGAAATAAATTTGGAATCATGGAGTTTAATCTCATCATTTTAAAGATAAGATGGAAGCTATTTTGAAATGTTGCTGTCTAAGGTCACAGAACTGGTTTCTGAGAAATTTTCAAATGTTAATTTACTTTCTGAAAGTCTGTTTTAAAAAAAATCTGACATTGTAGTTTTGGAAAGATAAAATACAGTAGTGGATGGATACCTCAGTTTTAAGTTGAGTCTAACTTTTTAACAAGGCTTACTAACCTAATGGGTTAGTAATAGTTCATTAATAGTTAAAAACCCACGTTTTGTAGCTGTTTTCCCCTAAATGAATTAATCTGGGTCTCTGTTTTCTGTAAAATATCCTCCCACCCAAATACTTCTGGGGGGCCATGGCGTGTCTCCTGCAGGGCCTGGAGGAGGGCTTCCCCAGATGCTCTGCCTCCAAGCGCCACGTGGGGGCGCTGCCTCACCACTGCCTCACCTGCGCACGTGTCCGGGGAGCGCTGACCTCCAGGCCAAGGCCACTGTGTCCCGGCCGGTTGCCAGCGGTGCTGGCCTCCGCGCGGTTCGCGATTAACCAAAGCCACGTGGACTTGTCATCAGGGTGTTCCAGCGACAAGGCCGGGCACTGCCCGCGTGGAGTCCCTGGCGAAAGCAGCTCCTTGGTTTTTGCCTCCAGCCATAAGGCTCAGACAGGAACCATGAACCCAAAGGTTGGATCAGAAATAAATGTGTCACACACCGTCAGCTCTCTGTGAGTTCCTCTGAGTCTCTGACAAGCTGGGGCTACTTACCACATCCCCACCTCTTCCTGTTCTCCAACACTGCGTGAGCACAGTACAGCCTGTGTGCCAGGCAGAGCTACTTCAGGGGGAAGGCTTCCTCCCGCCCTCTGTCCTTCTCTTCCTTCCCTCCCTGCCTCCCACTGGAGGTTGGACACCAGTCCCTGGCCTCCTGTTTCCACCTCTGATGCACTTCTTTGGGGCCACACTCCTGGTCCTCTCCCCATCTCCTGCTGTCTGGGGAAACGGAGAGGCTTATCAGATCGGTGTGTTTGACAGTGGGGACAGAGGCCCTGGGCCAGCTCCTTCCCCTCTGCAGGGCTCACCTCTGCCGGAGGCCTCTGTTCCTGCCTCCCACACTCTTCAGCTGAGCTGAGCAGGCCTTTGTAAGGGGGACCTGCAGTTTTCCATCTCTGTCCAGGATTGTGTGAGCACATTTAATTTTGGGATGAAATACTAATAAGGTCACCTAACACCCCAGTCTCCTGTCAACTAGGACGTGATCTTTTGTCTCCGTATGTCTGAGTCCTTCGTCTGATCTCCCTGTTTGGTCCCAGACATGAAAGGATATGACAGGCATTCATTTTTGAGCCTCCTCAAGTTAAAACTCACCTGCTATGTATCTGAGGATTTGGAGAATACCAAGGAAAGCTCTAAGAATCTCGAGAGCTGGTGTCTGGGGAATAGGGACAGGAGGTGTTAGTCTCCTAAACAAAGCCAGGAGACACCTGCAGAAGAAGGTCAGGCCAAGTCAATCTTGGTCTCACAGTTCGTGACATTTTTGATTTTCTAATTAATTCTTTTGAGACAGAGTCTCACCCAGACTGAAGTGCAGTGATATGATCTTGGTTCACTGCAACCTCCACCTCCCGGGTTCAAGGGATTCTCCTGTCTCAGCCTCCCAAGTAGCTGGGATTACAGGCACCCACCACCATGCCTGGATAATTTTTGTATTTTTAGAAGAGATGAGGTTTCACCTTGTTGGCCAGGCTGGTCTTGAACTCCTGACCTCATGATCCACCCGCCTCAGCCTCCCAAAGTGCTGAGATTACAGGCATGAGCCACAGCACCTGGCCAATTAATGGACACATTTTTGAGTGAGGTTGTGATTTCATAATCGTGGGTTTTTTTCCTTGGTTGAGATTATAATAATAGAATGATAGATGATTTTAATGATATAATTATTATAATGGTAGACTTTAATGCAGTGTTTTTCCATATACCATTGTGATTTACAAGTGTCAAAATACATAGTGATAAAATAATTTTTCAATTAAAGTAACAAAAAACTTTACCCTATGAGTTGTATGTTTCCTTCTAGTCTTTTTTCCCCCTATGTACAGGTCTTATGTGCCTTTGATTACGTTTGATTTAAATTCATCTGTAATTATTTTATAATTTTCTATCCAGAGTTTGTCACTTAAGACTATCCCCATGAGAATATTTTCATATTAGTCTTCATAAAGATAAGCAAAACTGGGCCGGGCATGGTGGCTCACACCTATAATCCCAGCACTTTGGGAGGCCGAGGCAGGAGAATCATGAGGTCAAGAGATCGAGACCATCCTGGTCAACACGGTGAAACCCTGTCTCTACTAAAAATGCAAAAATCAGCTGGGCATGGTGGCGCGCGCCTGTAATCCCAGCCACTCGGGAGGCTGAGGCAGGAGAATTGCTTGAACCCAGGAGGCGGAGGTTGCGGTGAGCCAAGATCGCACCATTGCACTCCAGCCTGGGTAACAAGAGCGAGACTCTGTCTCAAAAAAAAAAAAAAGATAAGCAAAACTGGCTATAATATATTTGACTAACCAAATATACTCTAGTTTATTTAATTATTTGTCTAAGTTTGGGCAATTATTTTAGTTTGTTCCACCTTTTGCTATTATAAAATGCCTAAAGGATAGAGCATTTGAAATCAGAAACGGCTCCAACTCAAGCCTTGATGCAGTAACCTCGGAGCTTTCTGTAAGCTCCTTCGTCTCCTTGAGCCTGTTTTCTGTGAAATGGGAATGTGTAACTCTTACCTCATAGGCTATTTTGAGCAACAGATAAATGTTGTATGTGAAGCACCAAGAACAATGCTTGACATCTAGTACATGTTTAATAAAAGTGTTTCCTACCTCTCTTTCCTATGACGTGAATACATAAATAAATTATGTGACTTCGGACAGGCGTTCGAGAGCAGACCATTGCAGATCACTAGAGGAATATGTTAAATTAGTATTTTGATGTATTAAAGCACCAGCATTTTACAAAACCAACTATGAAACTTACGTCTTTGGCCCAAAAGAGTTTATAATTTAGAGTTAACAATTTTCCACCTCTCCCAAAAACCAGTTGTAAATCTAATAAAAAAAAACCTGCACTGAAATGGATAACCTTCATAAGGCCCAATATGAGCTCTTAAATGAGTTTTCCTTCAGCATAGAATTTTTCCCCTTCATGATTACGATTAAGATATATTCATTCATTCATTCATTCATTCAGGCCTGGACCTAATAAGTCAGGAGGTGACTTGAGACCATGCCTGAGTTTTGATGATGGTATGAGCCTTCAGGCGGCCGGTTACCTTCCTCTTTGCTGGGGTGCCGACAGTGCGGGGGAGGGCCGCTTACAGTGTAAGCGAATGCTGAAACAACTGATGTGTAATTCCAATTAAAGGCTGCCCACTCTCACTGGGAACTGGATTCTGATGATGCACATTTCCCTTGTGTCATTTACTCTTTGATCAAGCAAAGCTTCCTGAAGCATCTGCTTTATCAGGAGCCCTGCTAAGAGACGCAGAAGAGACTGCGACTACCATTTCCATCAGGAGGCCGGTAGTTCGGTGGGGAGGAAGACCTGGGATAAACTGCTGTGAGGTAAGTACTGTGATGGAAGCGTCTCAAACATTCAGTCATTCAGTGATAAATGTCTATGGATGGTGAAACACCAGTCAGACCTGCACTGGAAACTAAGAATGCAGAGATAAGAAAACATTCTGGTCCTGCCCTCATCATCTGTCCATCCTGTCTAGGAGCTGCTTGAAACTACCAGCATTCCTCTTTCTTTCTCCTTTTCTTGGTGGAAATGAATTCAACCAGTGGTGTAGTCCGCCCGCAGTTTAAAATAGGACAGTGAATAAAACAAGCATTTTCCCTCAGGAACTCAGTCAGGGCTAAAGGATTTCACTCTTATCTCTTTGTACCAGATCCTGCCTTGAGGTAACCCCAGAGGACTTGCTTTTCAAATCCTGTGTGTTCTTTAGTAGCTGGAAGTGTGTTCTTCCTTTGTTTTAAAGTAGGGGGAAATTATGTAAATGAGCCTCAGTCCTGCAAAGAAGATTTAATTGGTGATTGAGGAGTATAATCTTTCTCCTCCATTGAAAACCTGGAACTGGATTGTTCTTGTCTGGATCTAAAGTGTTTCTTTTCAGGAGTCCTGACTGAAAGGGGCTCATCCCTCTTTGGCTGGGAGTCTAGTTCCCAGAGTCCAGGGCTTGCGTCTTCTCCTGTTGTGATAATTCGCCCTCTAGGAACTGTGTGGTCTCCTTTACCCAAGGTTGGAGAAAGCCTAAATTATTAGTTCCTACTCCTCTCCTTGAGGACAAAAGAGGAGCGAATGATGGGAGTGTGGGACTTCCAAGGGAAAGCCCTAATTCCTTTTTTGTTTGTTTTGAGATGAAGTCTCTGTCCCCAGGCTGGAGTGTAGTGGGGGGATCTCGGCTCACTACAACCTCTGCCTCTCGGGTTCAAGCGATTCTCCTGCCTCAGCCTCCGAGTAGCTGGGATTACAGGCATGCTCCACCACACCTGGCTAATTTTTTTATTTTTTATTTTTAGTAGAGACGGGGTTTCACCATGTTGGCCAGGATGGTCTCCATCTCCTGACCTCATGATCCACCTGCCTCAGCCTTCCAAAGCGCTGGGATTATAGGCATTAGCCACCATGCCTGACCTAGAAAGCCCTAATTCTAAATGATTCCACTAATTAGCCATAGGACCCTATACGTGGTCCCCCCAGGAACAGGGATGGACTGGCTGGGTGATGGGGGTGGGGTGTCAGGGAATTCTAGTGAAACCGGGGAAGGAAACAAATTTACATTTAGAAATCGGGAGCCTGAAACCCCTTTGACATTTGTGATCTGAGACCCCAAACTAGGTGCCCCTTAACTAAGGGTAAGGAAATGAAAGTCACCGACAGGTTGAGGTCTCAACAGGTTGAGGTCTTGGGGCTGGGCTGGCACGGCACTTCCTAAATTCCTGGGGCTACAAGAAAAATCACACTTTTGCTAAACTCCCTAACAGTAGGAACCATCAGGAAAATTGTCAGGACCTTCCTCACTCTGATTTACAACCCAGACCCCTAGAACTCTGATTGGACAGAGGACCATCCTGCAAACATTCTTTCCTGATAAGCAACTGCAGACCTGAAGCCAGTTCCAGACACATCTGGAGACTGCACACAAACTGTCTTTGTGTTCCATAGCTCACCTTTTGACAGAGCCAGATTCTACCTCATTTTAATCTAAACACCCTGCCCCAAAGTAAACTGAGCTGTTACATGTGTGTTTACCTACTGTGCACACGCAAGACTCCCCTCATAAATACGTATAGCTTTCCCCCAAATCTGCTGAATATGTATGATTCTACTGTGTAATATGGAGCCGAGAGGCATAAAAGCCAACCTGCTCTTTCCTCTTGAAAGAGAAAGCACCTTCAGTACATGCCAGAGACCGTCTCTTCTGTACAGTTTCTTTGGAAAACTTCACCTAACCTTCTTATATATTGCTGGATTATGTTTTGAGAAACTGGGCAATATACATGTCATTTGACCTAGCAATTTCACCTGGAGGAATTTATCTCAATGAATGACAAGTACAGTACATAAAAGTGTCTGTGTAAGGGTGTTCACCCCTACATTGTTTATGGTACTGTAAAAACTGGCCATGATATAAATGTTTACCAAATGAAGACAGCTCAGTAATGTCTAGTATGGCCATACAGCGTAATGCCATGTAGGTGTTTGCAAGAATATTTTTGTTTTTTGTTTTTTTTGAGATGGAGTTTTTTGAGATGCAGTGGTGTGACCTTGGCTCACTGCAACCTCTGACTTCCTGGTTCAAGGGATTCTCCTGCCTCAGCCTCCTGAGTAGCTGGTATTACAGGCACATGCCACCACACCCAGCTAATTTTTGTATTTTTAGTAGAGACAGGGTTTCACCTGTTGCCCAGGCTGGAGTGCAATGGTGCGATCTCAGCTCACTGCAACCTCCACCTCTGGGGTTCAAGCAGTTCTCTGCCTCAGCCTCCCGAGCAGGTGGGATTACAGGTGCCCGCTGCCATGTCCAGCTAATTTTTGTATTTTTAGTAGAGACTGGTTTTCACCATCTTGGCCAGTATGATCTTGAAGTCCTGATCTTGTGATCCACCCACCTCGGCCTCCCAAAGTGCTGGGGTTATAGGCATGAGCCACCGTATCCAGCCAATATATTTGTTTTAAAATATTTCACCATGGGCTGGGAGCAGTGGCTTACATCTGTAATCCCAGCACTTTGGGAGGCCAAGGAAGGTGGATCACGAGGTCAGGAGATCGAGACCACCCTGGCCAACATGGTGAAACCCTGTCTCTACTAAAAATATAAAAATTAGCTGGGCGTGGTGGCATGTGCCTGTAATACCAGCTACTCAGGAGGCTGAGGCAGGAGAATCCCTTGAACCAGGAAGTCAGAGGTTGCAGTGAGCCAAGATCACACCACTGCACTCCCGCCTGGCAACAGAGCGAGACTCTGTCTCAAACAAAAATTTCATCACATATGGTGTGTTAAGTTATACCTAAGTACAGCCATTGACTCCCTCTGAAATTAAGCCCACAGGAGTGGTCAGCTAACATTGTCATCAGGAAGCCCTCACCCAGTGTGACCACTCTCAGGGTCCTCCTCCCCAGCTCTTCATCAAACGTGGAGGCTTTGCTAATGACTGGAATGACTGTTAGGAATGGTCTTTATTGGCGAAATCAGTTACATGTAAGATTGGGTCTGATGAACTGTCTGAAATACTATATTTGCCTGAAAAAGAACATAGGAATTGAGCAAGGCCTGTGGCCCACAATGACACTTGGGATTCCATCCTCAAATCCACAGTTCAGTTTAGATTCAGGTCCATCTTTGGACAGCACTCCAATTGGGTCTGGATTCTGCTTTCCTGGTACTCAGGCTGGCTGAATTCTATGACATTATTGGCTACGTGAAGCTTTTCTGCAAGATGGCGAAAGACCTAGAGTTGGGCTTTCCTGTAGCTCATGAAATAGATGGCATGACTAGGTAGGCGCACACGGTGGCTCATACCTGTCATCCTAGCACTTAGGGAGGCCGAGGCGGGCAGATCACGAGGTCAGGAGTTTGAGACCAACCTGGCCAGCATGGTGAAACCCTGTCTCTACTAAAAATACAACAAAGTAGCCAGGTGTGGTGTTGCACACCTGTAGTCCCAGCTACTTGAGAGGCTGAGACAGGAGAATTGCTTGAACCTGGCAGGTGGAGGTTGCCGTGAGCTGAGTTTGCACCACTGTACTCCAGCCTGGGTGACAGACTGAGACTCCATCTCAAGAAAAAAAAAAAAAAAGGAAAAAAGTAGATGGCATGACCATTTTTGTGATCCTTTCTCTTTGTGTGCGTGTGTGTGTGTGTGTGTGTACATGTGTGTATGTGTGTGAATTTGACCTTGTTTTCATTTGTGAGGGGTGTCGCTCTCAATTATCTCAAACTTTTCTGTAGCTACCATTCTCTACCAAAAAGAACTTAAGGCATGTACATGGCCAGACTGTCTAAGGTCAGTTAGCCACACCATTTAATGACGATGCAGATTTGTATACGTCAATGTTCAGATGTCTGTGATATATTGGTGCACTTGTTATCTGCTGCTCTGCAGCGAATTACCCCCAAGCTTTGTTGCTTAAAACAGTAATTGTTTATCATCTGTCACAATTTCTGCAGATTGAGAATTCAGACAGGACACTGCAGAAACAGCTTGTCTCTATCCTGAAGTATCTGGAGCCTGCATTCATTTGAGGCACATTCTCTCACATGTCTAGGTGGTAATGCTGGCTTGCTGCTACAAGACTTGCTGAGACCATTGACCAAATAATCTCACATGGCGTGACAGCACATGGCTGGAATCCAGGGGCAGGTGTCCAAAGAGAGAACGAGTGAGTGCCAGACAGAAGCCATATGCTTTTTCTGACCTAGCCTCAGCCTTAAGCCCTCATTCTTTCCAGCATGCTTGTTGGTTAGAAGCCGGTCACTAAGTCTATCCCATATTCAGCCCAGGGGAATAAGGCCCCCCACTCTTAGGGAGGAGCATCAATTTGCAGACATATTTTAAAACTACCACAGTTGACAATGAAGAGAAATTGGGATACACAGGACATAGAGTATACTCTTTAGTTAAATATATATATAAAGTTACAAAGGGTGCATATCAAAGGGTAGTGTATATTTTGACACTTCCATGTTTTTTAAAATCCTGAATGCAGGTGTATTACTTCTATAGTTACAAAAGACAAATTTCTATTTTTTAAAAAAATTATGAATATGCTTGCCATGAAAATTCAAATATAGAGATCTACAAAGCGAAAAGAGAAGTCCCTCATCATTCTGCACCGATTTAGAAATCCCACCCATTAAAAATGTTCACTGCACCTATACAAATACTTGTCTCTCAACCCTCTGATCTATTAACATGTCTATCCCATCTGGAACCATTTTCACAATGTTGACAGATTATAGCTTTAATAAAATGTTTTGGC